GGCTACCGTCAACTGTTTGGTTACCAACATTTTTCAAAATATCTTGTTTTGAGTTCCACAGCTGAAAGAAATTGATACAGGTTTAGAACAACTTAAGGTTGAATAAATGATTTTAATTTTTATTTTTGAGTGAACTATCACTTTAAAATTTTCTTATTAAATATTTGATTCTTTCATTGAGGCTTTTGTGTCTTTTTGTCATGTCATTGAGCCGTACACTTTCGATTAGCATACTATAATAATAAAATTACATTATCATCGCTCTCATGGAGGCCTTGCTCATCCTCCTCCGGTGTTTCCGTCGGCGCTTCCGCGGGGGCTGAAGAGGGGGCGGAGTCTGTGGGGCTGAGGGAGTGGTGGGAGGGGCTTTTGTCACTATGGGATAATGAAGAAAACAGAAGACTGTGGTTAGAAGGATGGTTGGATAAACGCTGAAAGAATTAATCTCAAGGCAGCCATCACAATATTAGCGTTACATGATTTTTTGACCCTATGACTTTATAAGCTACCTCTGACGTTAAAGAAACGGAAAGAATAACAGGAAGCATAAGCTACTAATAACAATACAATGTGTACACACACAATGACTCAATAGACATTCTATACACTGACCTGTTCTTTGTGTGCTAGTCTGTTGTTGGCTAACTGCTTGCGTTGTATGTTGGTGTCGGTGGTGTTGGTGACGAAGATAATGTTGTGTTTCCTCTTGCTGCTGTTCCTTTTCCTGCTTATTTTGGTTACTTGCTTCTGATTGGTGGTGGTGGTGATGATGTTTTCTAACTTCTGATTGGTCAGAGTGATGATTTAGTACTTCTGATAAGCCACTGGATTGGCTAATGACCTCAACGTGGCTGTAAGTGCGACTAAGACCGTCTAATTGGCTGCTGTGCGGCACGCTGTGCTCTGATTGGACGGAATTGTGGGAAGGATTGTTTTTTGGTTGCTGTGGTGTTGTTTGATATGGTTTCGTCTGTTGATCCTCTTGCGGATGTTTGTCGTAATGCCGTTGCGTCTTTTTTGCCATGCCGTCGCCACTGTGTTCTGTTTTCATGGGCTCGACCTCCTCTGTTTGTGTTGTGTCACTCATCATGTGTGGATCTCCTAATGTGGTTTGTCTGGTGGGAACATTTCCTCTACTTGTATAAACTGGTGTGAGTGTATGTTGGTATGGGCTTTGTCGGTACCCTTGTGTGTGCGCGACTGTGTATTTCGACTGCCATTGTGGTTCCTGACTCTCTCTATCCTCCAAATGGAGCCTTTGATTATGTTTAAGTTCATCATTGCGGTGTAGCTCCTCTTTCGATTGCGTCTTTGGTAATGTTACTTTAGGGTGG